CACACAGGGCAAAACATAAGTCCCCGTTTTCGGACTGCGTCCGAACGGGGACTAACAAACCAGCTTCACAATGGAGATTTCAACACAAATACATATTTTTAAGTACAATTTTCCTTTCAAAATGTGGATGCAACATTTTGCCTGTTATGTATTTTTGCATTAATATTAATTGTTTTGATAACTGTACTAAACAGACATAATTTTCTATTGGCTTCAGATCTTGATCAAAAGTTTGGCACCCACAGGATTATTCATAGGAGTGTTTATATCAATTATCTTACATCTTGTTTTCTGTTAGTTTATGTATTTTATTGGTATGTTTGCAAATGTGTATTAGACTGAAACAATTCTTTCTATGAGTTGACATTGAAACCCAGTCTAGTATTTACATGGGATTTGGAAGATACATTACCAATTATATTGATTACAAGATAAATGATTTACTTCATTGAACACATACAACAATGCACATTTCCACTGAGATCAGTGACCTTTGAATGTGTATCACGAGCAATCAGTCAAGTAGAAAGTCAACAATTTTTAGCAGATTTGTCGTTCACACTATAAAAGGAAGATTTTATACTTCTGAATTAGGTGGAATAGAATTAGTAAAGCTATTGTGTACACATTAACAATATTAACAACAACAACAGACATTTTCCCCTTAATATATCTTTTCCTTTCATCTTTGATGATACAGGCAAGATAAAAATTGTACAGTATTAGAGAATACTTGTATGAAATTTGACTCATTTAAAGTATCTGAAATCACTGATGCTAAAAATCAACATTTAAAGTTTACTATTAAAAATATACTTCTATTTCCAGACTGAAGTGTGGAGTAACCATGGGAATGTCAGATTGGTGTTGCAATATACCAATGTATTGAGGATAGGAGAAGTTATTCAGATGGTGGATTAGGTATGATCACATTGTCATGGATGTGCAATTTCAGGGTTATTATTGTTGAAAACTAGAGGGGTGTTATAATTTTATTTGTTCATTTTAAGATTCCATGAAATCAAAGTTTGGATGTACAACATGGGAAAGATGGTTGAGTACCAGCAATTTCATAAATTGCAATTATAATTTGTGTCCTTCATAGTGTATTATGCCTGTTTTCAAAAAAACTCTTCAAGACTGTGTCTGGTAAATCACACGCAAGCACACATATGGCATTTTTGAAAGTAAGCTAAGCTAGTTTTAAGACAAACTAAAGACTTGATTCTCATCATGGAGCTCCATGTTCTCATTAAGGCTAGTGACCATGTTTATCTTTCTGTCTATATACTGTTTCTACAAGGAGAAACGGTGTTATTTCAGAGGTGCCCTTCTACATTTCCTAACTCCACAGGGCGATGGTAATAATAAAAAGACATTGAGAATGTCACTGAACTAATGTCTGGATGATTTTCGTCAAACAAAATGGCTACTAGGCAGCCATCTTGGATTGGATTGTGACATAATCAACTTTCCTTAATGTGCTTGAACACTATCGGTTGTGTTTGGATGTAAATGGACAGTATAAATGATAGATATATGCATAATTAAATACAAAAAATGACATTTGTCATGAAAATGGCTGCTCATCAGCCATATTGCATAGAATATTAAGATAATTAATTAATACTCTACACTTATAAAATGTAAATTTTTAGGCTATTTTTGGTAAATATGGCCACTAGTCGGCTATTCTGTACCTAAACAGACAAAAGAAATCTGAGGCATATGTATACCAACATGTATCAACCATATACCAAGTTTGGGAAACTGGTCCATGGAGGTTTGAGATAATACCCTATATCATAGTATCACAAATGATGTTTAGTTTACAAAATGACTGACCAAAATATCATGAGGTCCATGTCTTTGATAATTTCATTTGCACTTTTTCTTTCTATAGTTTTCATATTATACTCAGCATCAGTTTTTAACAATACGACCTTGAATAATTATCAATAACCATGCTGCAAAATGATCTTGTCTCTCCAAAAAGAAACCATGTAGGTACATGTTGACATATCAAATCTTCTTGTTTCATCCACTAAGTACCGGTTACGGTATACTAGTACAAATGTACCTCTAAGTGTTTGTACCTAGTTAGTGTTGTATCTATACACATGCACTCCTAATCTTATAGAAAATATTCATATCCAAGTCACATTGGGGAACACTGTAGTACTGCGAGTATAAATGCATGTTGTTGTGATGATTTATTTATTTACTCATTGACTCTTACACAATCCCCGGAGGGAAAGAAAATGGTCACAAAGTACAAGGAGAAAAATATACATAAAAACAAAACAAAAACACAATATACTAAATAACAAATACAATCACTAAATTACTAAATAATACAAAATCTCTAAATTACTAACTAATATAAAATTACTAAATTGACATCAGGCATTAAGATGTCAAGTAAGACCCTGCTTTCTGACTTTGAAGCTTTTACTTATGAACTGTGCTACCGGTATAATAACGTTTTCATTCTGTAACAATTCCATGATTTTTTTCTCTGCAGGTTTATTTTCAAATGCTGGGATCATATCCTTAGCTTTATTGAACAGTTTGGTATGCAAGTCAATATATTTGTTGCATTCCAGCAGAAAATGCATTTCATCCTCAATTAGACCTTTGTTACACATGTCACAAACCCTGTTGTTTAATGGGATTTTTTTATGACGACCCATTTCAATTTTGAAACTATGGTCACTATGATGAAAATTGGTAAGCACACTATGATGAACT